TTCGAAGAGGCGTCGCACGACTCCTTCAAAGGGATTGGAATCGAGCTTCTGATCTTCTGTTGCTTTGCTTAACCTATGAAAATAAAACTCTGGTGCATTACTTTTCTGGTCTTGTGGGGCCTTTGCTTGGTGTTGTGAGCACTGTAACCACCATCGCCCAGTTAATGAGGGCGAGTATGGATACGATTAGGTGGCCTCCAATTCATACGTTGTAGGACTAGTGGGATGTACCTAATATAGGCAAATGTTTTTACTGGTAGGAACGAAGTGGACCAGCCTACAATAGATTATATCGTCCGTCCGTGTAGCAACGTCGCCCCCTACTGCAAACACTTGGCATGACCCTACAAAAACCTTGACTCTGACGCTTTCCTGGCTAAACAAGTGTAACATTCCCTTATAATTCCCTGAGATAGCTTTTTAATTAACTTTGAAATTAAAAAATAACTCGCAGCGCCCTAAAGCCTCGAACTACGCCTATCACTCTCCCTTCATATCGTACCCCCGTGTGTGTGCAAGGGAGTTGATGTTTAACAATGTTACATTCCCTGATGCTTTTAAATAGAAACCTTTAAATTTAAAGCTTTTACCTAAATAATAAAAAGCCCAGGCATAGGCCTCACTCTCCCTTCATATCGTCCGATTCGGTGTAGCAACATCGCCCCCTACTGCAAACACTTGGCAGGACCCTACAAAAACCTTTAGACTCTGTGGGGCTTTCCTGGCTAAACAAGTGTAATAATACATTATGTTTATATTCTTTGGTTATTCGTTCCTACCAGCCCACCCCGCAGGGTCCTGTTTAAACATTCCCAACTGTCCTTACTGGCAGTCATTCTTTGTCCTGTACAATGGAGCAGTTGAACAATTTCACGTAAGAAATGCCTTCCTATGCTACTTTGATCTACCATAAAAAAGCCCCCAGAAGTTTACAACCGTGGCAGTAATTGGGCATTTATGGTACATTACAAAGACGGGCAAGGTGCAACAACCTTGCAAGGAAAAGTAGCCTTTAATATTGTACTTAAGCTGACAGTTGGCGTTTTACATGTGGAAATTTGTTTCCATGGTGCCCCACAGCCTTAACTCAAAATATGTATTCATCCTAGTGACATGAGCTCTGAAGCTCTGTCCATTGGATGCATGTCAAAGTTACAACCAACAATACAAACTATCGGAGTGCATAGTATCTTGAAGGTACATAAATTACACTATACAAAGTATATACGTTCAAATGGCATGAATACACCGATTCCCATGCTTGGGCAAGTTGGTCCCAGACCAGAGGAAAGTCCCTTGCTAAAATTTAACTCCTTACATGAGTAAGGATGAAAGTTACAAATCCCATTGCCAGTGGAATTAGCACTGATTTTGGATATGTTTGTAATGTCTAATTTACAACGTCAAGGATCTGTAATGACGGCCTATGTCCGGCTCACGTGGTGATTGGCTCTGCCGGTCCTGCTCAACAGCCAATGGGGGGAGAGCCTGGGAGCATGGCCCTGGTGTGATCAAGGGATGTCAGCTAGGGTGATTGGTTCTGCTGCTCTTGGCCTCAGCGAATGGGAAGACAAGTCAGGGGCGTGGTCCCGGGAGTTGATGGAGGAATCTGGAACATTCAGCGCAGGCTATTAAGGATTGGCTGGCGAGTACCACGTGACTGAGGCATTAAATAAGGGAAGAGCCAAGGGACACGTGGTCAGACAAGGAACGAAGAGAGAGGGGCCACGCGCGAGCGGGGCTCCGAGTGCCACGTGGCGGTGCGTCTCTTGCAATCTGTCTGCCCACTTCCCGTTGCCTGCCAGCAACGGGGAGTGCTTGTGAACTGAGAAAAGTAAATAAAAGGACCGATTCCACAAGCCGTCTCCAGAGTGTTATTACAGATCCAACGCGGCACTGCAAAGGCTTTGTTACATGTTCTTTGGATGGGTAGATGGAGCAGTCGGCCCTCTGGGTTTGCACGATGCCCCTTTATTTATTTTGCACTAGCGGTAAGTACCCGGCGTTGCCCGGGTGAAAAATATCTTTCAAAACTTCTCTTAAAAACCTTGCATATACACACGGCTACTAAGGTATTGTGAAACCTCGGTGGGCAGTTGGTACATTTCTACACCAACAAAATTATAAGAAGCTTGCAATACTCCAAAAAGTTGTAGATATTGTGGGGTAAATTAGTAGTTGATATAAAAGGTTTCCGAAAATTGTGGACCCCCCCCCCCCCACCTCAAAAAATAACTTTACCCCCGCGTAGGTATATAGACCTACACACCCTACATACAACAGAGGAAGTAGAACTATTGACTCTGTAGTTATATCTACTGACTGTACAATAGTAGCTACTGACTGGCGTATTTACTGATTGTAGTAACGACTGACTAGTAGTAGCTGCTGGGCCTACAGTAGTATCTACGGACTCTATAGTAGTAACTAACTGTATAGCAGTAGCCAATGACTAGTAACTACAAACTCTAGCAGTATCTACTGACTCTAACTACTCACCGTAGTGGTATCTACTGCCTGTATAGTAGTATATACCGATTGTAGCAGTAGTGACTGACTGTAGTGGTATATACTGACTGTTTTAGTATCTACCAACTCGATAGCAGTATCTACTATCACTACAGCAGTGCAAACCGACCGAGGAGGTACCTGCTTTCACTAGAGCAGTGCATACTGACTGGTGGTACATGCTATGATTACAGCAGTGCATACTGTGGTGGAACCTACTTTCACTACAGCACTGCATGCTGTGGTGGTACGTGCTATGATTACAGCAGTGGATACTGATTGTGGTCGTGCCTGCTTTCACGACAGCAGTGCATACTGACTGTGGTGGTTCCTGCTATGATTACAGCAGTGCACACTGCTGTGGCGGTACCTGCTATGATTACAGCAGTGCATACTGCTGTGGTGGTACATGCTATGATTACAACAGTGCATACGGACTGTGGTGGTATCTGCTTTCACGATAGCAGTGCATACCGACTGTGGTGGTTTCTGTTATGATTACAGTGGTGCATACTGACTGTGGTGGTACCTGCTATGACTACAGCAGTGCATACTGCTGCGGTGGTACCTTCTATGATTACAGCAGTAGAAACAGCTGTGGTGGTACCTGCTATGATTACAGCAGTGCATATTTTGGTAGTACCTGATATGATTAAAGCAGTGCATACTGACTGTGGTGGTACCTGCTATGATAACAGCAGTGCATACTGACTGTGATGATACCTGCTATGATTACAGAAGTGCATACTGACTGTGGTGGTAACTGCTATGATGACAGCAGTACATACTGTGGTGGTGGTGCCTGCTATGATGACAGCAGTACATTCTGTGGTGATACCTGCTATGATGACAGCAATACATACTGACTGTGGTGGTACCTGCTACTTTACTTAATAACCAGGCTACAGTCTGCATTATAGACTGCCAGTACACTAACCCAGCTTAATAACTATCTGTACAGTCTACATTATAGACTACCAGTACACTCACCCAGCTTAATAACCAGGCTACAGTCTGCATTATAGACTGCCAGTACACTCACCCAGCTTAATAACAATTTGTACAGTCTACATTACTGACTGTCAGTACACTAACCCAACTTAATAACTATTGTACAGTCAACATTATAGACTGCCAGTACACTCACCCAGCTTAATAACCAGGCTACAGTCTACATTATAGACTGCCAGTACACTCACCCAGCTTAATAACCAGGCTACAGTCTGCATTATAGACTGCCAGTACGCTCACCCAGCTTAATAACCAGGCTACAGTATACATTATAGACTGCCAGTACGCTCACCCAGCTTAACCAGGCTACAGTCTACATTATAGACTGCCAGTACGCTCACTCAGCTTAATAACCAGGCTACAGTCTACATTATAGACTGCCAGTACGCTCACCCAGCTTAATAACCAGGCTACAGTCTACGTTATAGACTGCCAGTACACTTCTAGATTTGAAGCTTTCGTGACTGCAAAGTCACGTAGGTAAAAAATTGTACTAAAATTATTTTTTTTAAAAACCTCACTTGATACAGCAAATCTGGCTGTGACGGTCCCACTTGATGACGGAGACTTGCGTTGCCTCCGAAACGTCGTGATTTTTATTATTTTATTTTTATTAATTTTAATTTCATTTTTTACCTACGTGACTTTGCCAGTACACTCGCCCAGCGTAATAACTGTTTGTGCAGTCTACATTTAAAGAATCTAATCTTGGCGCGCTTGGGTTTCATTTTAATTAATGAGTTTTCTTTTCATTTGTATATGTTATGCTTTCAAGTTTTTAGAAGTTTTTTAAATCAATTTTTCCCCCGGGCAACGCCGTTAGTAGCAGTTTATATTAACCAACTTATATATAACGGGAACAGGGCGATTCTTAATGAATCTACAACCTTCGATTCCTTTGCGCGATTAAGAGAATCGATTCTTGGCGCGGTCGGGTTTAATATTAATTGCACAGTTGTATTTTCATTGGTATGTTATGTTTTAAAGTTTTTAGAAGATTTTACATGTATTTTTCCCCCGGGCAAGGCTGGGTATATCGAGTTTATAGCACAAAGTCTTCGCCTGACAAGTGTGGGGTGACGAGGCCTAGTAACGTGCAGAGCCTCCGGCCTCGCCTAGATTGCCCACCCGGCCGAGGCTGGGTGCTGGGCCGCTACCCCCCCCCCCCCCCGCGCTAGAATAATACTGTCTAATCGCTATAATTTTATTATCTACCGACCCTATAATAGTAAGTGCACACATTGGGGTGGGGGGGGGGACGTGAAACTTTGATGTATTTACCTCAGTGTCGCGTGTACATTTTTGTGCATTTGGAACGGGAATTAAAAATGGCGTCCGACCCACAGCTACGGCGTGGTGCCCGTTGTCAGGGGCAACCGCCCGTTGTCAGGGGCAACCGCCCGTTGCCAGGGGCAACCGCCACCACCACCACCCACTCCACCACCACCCACTCCACCAGCACCTCCACCACCCACTCCACCACCATCTTCACCACCTCCACCACCACCTCCACCACCACCCACTCCACCACCACCTTCACCACCTCCACCACCCACTCCACCACCACCTCCACCACCCACTCCACCACCACCTTCACCACCTCCACCACCCACTCCACCACCACCTCCACCACCCACTGCACCACCACCTTCACCACCTCCACCACCCACTCCACCACCACCTCCACCACCCACTCCACCACCACCCACTCCACCACCCACTCCACCACCCACTCCACCACCACCACCCACTCCACCACCCACTCCACCACCACCCACTCCACCACCTCCACCCACTCCACCACCACCTCCACCCACTCCACCACCCACTCCACCACCACCACCCACTCCACCACCTCCACCTCCACCCACTCCACCACCACCTCCACCACCTCCACCCACTCCACCACCACCTCCTCTACCACCACCACCACCATCACCTTTACCACCTCCACCACCACCACCCACTCCACCACCACCTCCACCCACTCCACCACCCACTCCACCACCACCTTCACCACCTCCACCACCACCTCCACCACCACCCACTCCACCACCACCTCCTTGGTTCATTAACGAGTTCTTGCCATCGTCTTCGAGTCGTAGTTTGTTGTTGATATCGAGTCCGGCGTATTTATTAAGTTAATAACTTCAGGGTGAAAAACATTAACACCCCCCCCCCATTCTTATAGTTTTCATACTTAAATTAACTCGTCGTAAGTTATTGCTGTAATTCCAGCGCGCGGGAAGTAATTAACACTTTAGTTAATAAATATTGTTGGTTGTTGTTATTGTTATTTAATTAAATTATTTGCTCAATGTCCAATGCACTCGCTGTGGTTTATTTTTGTCGTTGTCACCACCAATCTCCCCACCCCACCCACCAACCCCCCCACCCACCAACCCCCCCACCCATCAACCCCCCCACCCACCAACCTCCCCACCCACCAACCCCCCCACCCATCAACCCCCCCACCCACCAACCTCCCCACCCCACCAACCAACCCCCCCACCCACCAACCTCCTCCCACCCCCCCCCTAACCTCCCCCCCCTAACCTCCCCCCCCAAACCTCCCCCCCCCAACCTCCCCCCCCCAACCTCCCCCCACCCCCCCCCAACCTCCCCCCCCCAACCTCCCCCCCAACCTCCCCCCCACAACCTCCCCCCACCCCCAACCTCCCCCCACCCCCAATCTCCCCCCACCCCCCCCCCAACCTCCCCCCCCCAACCTCCCCCCCCAACCTCCCCCCCACAACCTCCCCCCACCCCCAACCTCCTCCCACCCCCAATCTCCCCCCACCCCCCCCCCAACCTCTCCCCCCAACCTCCCCCCCACAACCTCCCCCCACCCCCAACCTCCTCCCACCCCCAATCTCCCCCCACCCCCCCCCCCAACCTCTCCCCCCCAACCTCCCCCCCACAACCTCCCCCCACCCCCAACCTCCCTCCACCCCCAACCCCCAACCTCCCCCCACCCCCAACCTCTCCCCACCCCCAATCTCCCCCCACCCCCAATCTCCCCCCACCCCCCCCCAACCTCCCCCCCCAACCTCCCCCCACCCCCAACCTCCCCCCACCCCCAATCTCCCCCCACCCCCCCCCAACCTCCCCCCCCAACCTCCCCCCACCCCCAACCTCCCCCCACCCCCAACCTCCCCCCACCCCCAACCTCCCTCCACCCCCAACCTCCCCACCCCACCCCACCCACCAACCCCCCCACCCCACCCACCAATCTCCACCCCACCCACCAACCTCCCCACCCCACCCACCAATCTCCACCCCACCCACCAATCTCCACCCCACCCACCAACCCCCCCACCCCACCCACCAATCTCCACCCCACCCACCAACCTCCCCCCACCCCCAACCTCCCCCCACCCCCAACCTCCCCCCACCCCCAACCTCCCTCCACCCCCAACCCCGAACCTCCCCACCCCACCCACCAACCCCCCCTACCCCACCCACCAATCTCCACCCCACCCACCAACCCCCCCACCCCACCCACCAATCTCCACCCCACCCACCAACCCCCCCACCCCACCCACTAATCTCCACCCCACCCACCAACCTCCCCACCCCACCCACCAACCCCCCCACCCCACCCACCAATCTCCACCCCACCCACCAACCTCCCCCCACCCCCAACCTCCTCCCACCCCACCCACCCACCAACATCCCTCCACCCCCAACCTCCCCCCCACCTCCCCCCACCCGTCACACCAACTTCCCTCTCCTCCACCCAACACCAACCCCCACCCCCCCTCACCTCTTCCGGCCCCCACCCCCACCCCACCACCGGAACTGACGTCACTCGGCAGACATTTTCTACAAAAAGATGTCCCGTTCCCTCCTCGCGCGTGGCCGCGGGCGCCATTTTGTATTAAATTTTACCTCCGAAATTTTTTTAATTTTCTCTCCAAAATCCATTCAATAACTCCGTTTTTTCCCCTCATTAAAAAACGACCGCGCGTGACACGCACACAGAGACAACCGATAGATAGAGATGCCGTCCAAGAGAACTAAGAACGGCTTCTACGCGTACATGCAGCGGGCATCGAAGTGACGGGACTCGAGGACGCGGCCCGGCTCTGCGCGCCCGGCTGGGAGGTAAACAAAATAAAATAACTTTTTAAAAAACTAAAAAGTCCTTCGGTTGATTATCGTTTGGGTGCTTTCGGTGAAAGTTACGTGGATGGGAAAAATATAAGGTAAAAATCTAAAACTAATAACTCATTCGGTTGAATATTCTTTGATTTTTTTTTCGGTAAAAGTCACGTAGATGGAAAATAAAACAAAAATTAATAAAATGAAACTTAATGAAAACAAAAAAACTCATTCGGTTGATTATCGTTTGGGTGCTTTCGGTGAAAGTTACGTGGATGGGAAAAATATAAGGTAAAAATCTAAAACTAATAACTCATTCGGTTGAATATTCTTTGATTTTTTTCGGTAAAAGTCACGTAGATGGAAAATAAAACAAAAAATAATAAAAATGAAACTTAATGAAAACAAAAAAACTCATTCGGTTGATTATCGTTTGGGTTCTTTCGGTGAAAGTTACGTGGATGGGAAAAATATAAGGTAAAAATCTAAAACTAATAACTCATTCGGTTGAATATTCTTTGAATTCTTTCGGGAAAAGTCACCAATAAAATAATAAAAATATGAAACATTTTAATGAAAAAAAACTTGTTTGGGTGCTTTCGGTGAAAGCCACGTGGATGGAAAAATTAACAAAAAATATAATACTCTTGGTTCTTTCGGTAAAGTCTCGTAGAAGGGAAATAATAAAATATTTTTATATGAATCCGTGCAGTCGCGAAAGCTTTAAATCAAAATTTAAAAATATAATACTAAAAACTCCTTCGGTTGAATATTCTTTGAATTCTTTTGGTAAAAGTCGCATAGATGGAAACGAATAAACAAGAATAAAATGAAACATTTAATGAAAACAAAAAAACTCCTTCGGTTGATTATTGTTTGAATTCTTTCGGTAAAAGTCACGTAGATGGGAAAATAATAAAATAAAAAAATGTATTAAAAAAAAATAATTCGAACTAGATTCGAAGACAGAAATTAAATAATATAATTCGACGTTTCGATTGCAACACGAGCAGCCACCATCAGGTACGAATGAATGAGAAAACAAACTTCGCAAACTTAGCAATATACAACACAGAGTCGGTCAACACCACAATCAACACCCCCCCGCCTGTTGATTCACGTTCTTACAAAGATTGCTAAGTTTTGAGAGAGAGACAAAACACAGACACAGACTCACACAGAGAGACTCACACAGAGATACACACACAGAGAGATAGAGAGATACACACAGAGAGATACAGAGAGAGAGACACACACACAGAGACACACACACACAGAGACTCACACAGATACACACACAGAGATACACACACAGAGAGAGACACACAGAGATACACACACAGAGATACACAGAGAGACACACACAGAGACACACAGAGATACACACACAGAGATACACACACAGAGAGACTCACACAGAGAGACTCACACAGAGAGACACACACAGAGAGAGACACACACAGAGAGAGACACACACAGAGAGAGAGACAGAGAGACTCACACATCGAGAGAGATACACACAGACAGAGAGAGACACACATAGACAGACAGACACACACACGCAGAGAGACTGACACAGAGACACACAGAGACATTCTTTGAATATTCTTTGAATTCTTTCGGGAAAAGTCACTAATAAAATAATAAAAATATGAAACATTTTAATGAAAAAAAATGTTTGGGTGCTTTCGGTGAAAGCCACGTGGATGGAAAAATAAAGTGAAAATATAATACTCTTGGTTCTTTCGGTAAAGTCTCGTAGAAGGAAAATAATAAAATGTTTTAATATGAATCCGTGCAGTCGCGAAAGCTTTAAATCAAAATTTTAAAATATAATACTAAAAACTCCTTCGGTTGAATACTCTTTGAATTCTTTTGGTAAAAGTCGCATAGATGGAAACTAATTAACAATAAGAATAAAATGAAACATTTAATGAAACAAAAAAACTCCTTCGGTTGATTATTGTTTTAATTCTTTCGGTAAAAGTCACGTAGATTGAAAAATAATAAAATAAAATTATTACAAAAAAACTCATTCGAACTAGATTCGAAGACAGAAATTAAATAATATAATTCGACGTTTCGATTGCAACACAAGCAGCCACCATCAGGTACGAATGAATGAGAAAACAAACTTCGCAAACTTAGCAATATACAACACAGAGTCGGTCAACACCACAATCAACACCCCCCCGCCTGTTGATTCACGTTCTTACAAAGATTGCTAAGTTTGAGAGAGAGACAAAACACAGACACAGAGACACACAGAGAGACTCACACAGAGAGACTCACACAGAGAGACTCACACAGAGAGACACACAGAGAGAGACACAGAGAGAGACACAGAGAGATACACACAGAGAGACTCACACAGAGAGACTCACACAGAGAGACTCACAGAGAGAGACTCACACAGAGAGACTCACACAGAGAGATACACACAGAGAGATGCACAGAGAGAGAGAGACACAAAGAGATACACACAGAGAGATACACACAGAGAGACTCACACAGAGAGACTCACACAGAGAGACACACACAGAGAGACTCACAGAGACTCACACAGAGAGACTCACACAGAGAGATACACACAGAGAGATACACACAGAGAGATACACACAGAGAGACACACACAGAGAGACACACACAGAGAGACACACACAGAGAGACTCGCACATCGAGAGACTCGCACATCGAGAGACTCACACATCGAGAGACTCATACATCGAGAGAGATACACACAGAGACAGAGAGAGACACACATAGACAGACAGACACACATAAGCAGAGAGACTGACACAGAGACAGACAGACACACACATAGACACAGATAGACGCACACGAGCAGAGAGAGAGAGACACACAACATAGACACACAACATAGACACACAGACACACAAGCAAACCCTCACCATTCAGCCTGACCAATCACCCTCACCACTAACCCTCATCACTCTCCCTCACCACTCACCCTCACCACTCACTCACACCATTCACCCTCACCATTCAGCCTCACCACTCACCCTCACCACTCACCGTCACAACCACCACTCACCCTCACCACTCCACCTCACCCTCACTGATCACCACTCATTCTCACCTTCACCACTCACTCTCACCACTCACCCTCACAACAACCACTCGCCCTCACCGCTCACCACTCACCCTCACCCTCACCACTCACGCTCACCCTCACCACTCAACCCTCACTAATCACCACTCACCCTCACCACTCACGCTCACCACTCACTACTCATCCTCACCACACTCACCACTCACCCTCACCACTCACCCTCACTACTCACCACTCATCCTCACCAATCACCACTCACCCTATTCCCGTTTTTAAAACTTGCTTACGTGTCGCCAAGTATGCTTAACATTTCGAACAGACACACACATTCACTACTTTTGCTTTTGACATTTAACATACAAAACATCAGCTTGTACTACTGTCATCATAGCAGGTACCACCACCACAGTGATGGTGAGTGGTGAGGTTGAGTGGTGAGCGGTGAGGGTGAGTGGTGAGGGAGAGCTGTGAGTGGTGAGGGTGAGTAGTGAGGATGAGTGGTGAGTAGTGAGGGTGAGGGTGAGTAGTGAAGAAGAGTGGTGGTGGTGAGGGTGTGTGGTGAGGGTGAGTGGTGAGGGTGAGTGGTGAGGGTGAGTAGTGAAGAAGAGTGGTGAGGGTGTGTGGTGAGTGGTGAGCGTGAGTGGTGAGAGTGAGTGGTGATGGTGAGTGGTGAGGGTGAGTGGTGAGGGTGAGTAGTGAAGAAGAGTGGTGAGTGGTAAAGGTGAGTGGTGAGGGTGTGTGGTGAGTGGTAAGAGTGAGTGGAGAGGGTGTGTGGTGAGGCAGAGTAGTGAGTGAGTAGTGAGGGTGAGTGGTGAGCGAGGGTGGTGAGGGTGAGTGGTGAGGGTGAGTTGTGAGGAAGAGTTGTGAGGAAGAGTGGTGAGGAAGAGTGGTGAGGAAGAGTGGTGAGGAAGAGGGGTGAGTGGTGAGGGTGAGTGGTGAGGGAGAGTGGTGAGCGTGAGTGGTGAGGAAGAGGGGTGAGTGGTGAGGGTGAGTGGTGAGGGAGAGGGGTGAGTGTGAGTGGTGAGGACGAGGGGTGAGTGGTGAGGGTGAGTGGTGAGTGGTGTGTGAGTGGTGTGTGAGGGTGAGTGGTGTGTGAGGGTGAGTGGTGAGCGTGAGTGGATAGGGAGAGTGGTGAGGGTGAGTAGTGAGGATGATTGGTGAGGGTGAGTGGTGAGCGTGAGTGGTGAGCGTGAGTGGTGAGGGAGAGGGGTGAGTGGTGAGGGTGAGTGGTGAGGGAGAGGGGTGAATGGTGAGTAGTGAGTGGTGAGAGTGAGTGGTGAGGGTGAGTGGTGAGGGTGTGTGGTGAGCGTGAGTGGTGAGAGTTAGGGGTGAGTGGTGAGTGTGAGTGGTGGTGGTGAGGGTGAGTGGTGGTGGTAAGGGTGAGTGAGTGTGAGTGGTCAGGGTGAGTGGTGGTGGTGAGGGTGAGGATGATAGGTGAGGGTGAGTGGTGATGGTGAGTGGTGAGGGTGAGTAGTGAAGAAGAGTGGTGAGTGGTAAAGGTGAGTGGTGAGGGTGTGTGGTGAGTGGTAAGAGTGAGTGGAGAGGGTGAGTGGTGAGGGTGTGTGGTGAGGCAGAGTAGTGAGTGAGTAGTGAGGGTGAGTTGGGAGGGTGAGTGGTGAGCGAGGGTGGTGAGGGTGAGTTGTGAGGAAGAGTGGTGAGGAAGAGTGGTGAGGAAGAGGGGTGAGTGGTGAGGGTGA